TATTGTATTTTAATTTTAATGTTGTCTTCACTAGGTTTCAGAGTCAAGGTATAGCATGAATGAACAGAGATGAATGGAAGGGTGTAGGTTGTAGCCGTGTTGGTCTAAGGACATAGGCAGACAAGGTTCCTTGGGTGAATTTGATATCTTTTATTAGACCAACCCAAATAGTTGGAGAACAGTTATTAAGCAAGCTTTCAGGTTCAAAAACCCTTCGTCAGGCTAAGGAAGTTTCAGCAGTTGGTGTGTGCTCTTCCTGGATGGAATGAAAAGTAAAAAAGCCAGAGGCTGGGCTGGGGAGTCTCACTCACTAGAGCAGTTGGATAGACTGGCTCTCTGTAGCCTCCGGCAAACTTCACTGTATTGGTTTACTTCTAATGTCCTTAAAGTCCTCCTTTGCAACAATTGCTAGGAAAGGTTTAAATGCAAGTTTAAGCCTGGGAATTCCATTATACAGTGACTAAAAGTAATCTGAGGTTGTGGAGCAAATGTATATGTTTATATCTGAAACTCTTATTTGTAGACCCAAAGGATGGGCTGACTAATAGGTCATGGGGTGATGAAAGTGGAGACTTCACAGATAGTCAAAACAGGATGATTATTAGCTTGATACTGCCTGCCTGCCTGAGTGAGTGAGAAATAAAGCCTGATACTTCCTCCTAGCTTGGCAAGAAGCTTTCTCATTCCTTGTCATTATGAAAATTAGTAGGATACAAATGTTTGAGTATAGCATTTACACACTTCGTTATTACTTTTCTAGGTATGTATGAGCAGTCTGATCATTGCCACATTGCAGACATTGCGAGGATGATGTTAGTGGTGGATAGAATAATGATTTAGAGAAAAATCTGTTGGTCATTTACTCATTTTTAATTTTAATTTAATTTGGTTTCTTTGTATATTTTAGTAGCTCTTTTCAGTTTACAATCAGCAGTGGCTAGAATGACTATTTTACCTGTTCCTCTAGTTTCCTAGTTGTTAAGGGTCTTTTTCTGTTAACAAAATTTTACACTTGGCCTTTATCTACATGTGTAAAATTTTACTGATTTACCAATGTTATAAAGGGCATGTTTTTTGTAACAGTTCAGTTGTGTTAGCAAAGGCCCTTTGTGCAGATGTAATTCTACGAGCATAGCTGTTTTGCTTAGCCAAACTGGAGTAAACTATATTTGTATGAGAAATTTAAACTGCATCTGTATTTAGTAGGATTTTACCATTTTATCTATGCTGGCATATTTAAAGTGCTGAAGCTTTTAAGTGAAGACAAGACTTTAAAATCAAGTTCACAGTTTGATTAACATTCTTGCTCTAAGAGTATCACAAAGCTGGAACACAAAATTAATAAGCAAATAACAGTTGCTATATTTGAAGCTGAGATCATTCTCTGCTCTACTGAATTTCTGCAGGTCAGAAGAACTGAGACACTTTGACTACATTAAAGCCCTTTTTCAGGGTTTGTAATTTTGAAATCCAAGCTGTGTTAATTCATGGTTGAATCTGTATGTTAGGTTCCTAACAAAGTGTTAAAAATCTGACTTTAGCTCCTGCTGTTGGTAAACTTTTTGCCTACATAGGTAAAGAATTTAATTCACATATAAATCTGATACAAATTCAGGTTCAGTATATTGCAATTCCAGCTACCTTGGCCTTTAAGACTTTTTCAATAGACTTTAATAAAAGCAGGATCAGGCCCCTATCATTAATTTTCTGTGCTCATATGCTTTGCAGGAACATTTTAAGAATCCTGTTGTCCCGTTAAAAGCTTGGTGTTCGGCATGTGTGTTAACTATAGCTAACATACATTTAACTAGCATTTGCTGCTAAAGCTTCTTCTGTGCTATGCAACTCTACTTCAACTTGTTTACTTTCGTTATTATGGCTCATATCAGTTCACTGGATTTGATGTTTACTCTGTATATGGTTTATGTTGAAAACAATTCATGAAATAAAAGTGCATAATATTATCAGCAGGGGTTTAGGTTGTAGCCGTGTTGGTCTAAGGATATAGGCAGACAAGGTTCCTCGGGTGAATTTGATATCTTTTATTAGACCAACCCAAATGGTTGGAGAATAGTTACTGAGCAAGCTTTCGGGTTCAAAAACCCTTCGTCAGGCTAAGGAAGCTGCAGCAGTTGGTGTGTGCTCTTCCTGGATGGAATGAAAAGTAAACAAGCCAGGGGCTGGGCTGGGCTGGGGAGTCAGTTGCCAGGCAGATTGCACTGGCTGACAGTGGTGTAACTAGGGTGGGGCAGCTTGGGCAACTATCCTGGGCACTGACTTGGAGGAGAGGAGGTGAAAAAATAAACAGATTGTGCTGGCTGGCAGTGTGGTAGCAACCAGAAGGTAACCACTGCTGCTGTGTCCCAGGTACCTAGGTCTGTCATTGCACTGCTGGGCTGACAGGAATATGTATGGTGCAGGTTGAAACTAGGCTAATTGGCCCAGGACTTGAAACCAGACACTTGCTAGTTAGGGGACCAACCTGTCTGAGGCAATGCTGGATACAAAGACAAGGATGAAATCCAAGTAGGGTACAAGACAAGCTTGGTCACTGCTACACTGTTTGTGTTCAGAGAGGGTGTTAAGAAAATTACTGAAATAAGTTATGCACATTATGGTTTTACAGAACTTCTTACAATTCACTTTAAAGCTTCTTCTAAAATTGAATTTGCCAAGGGCATGACCTTTATCAGAATTTAAATCTGTCAACCCACATGCATTGGGCAATTACAAAAAAAAATAGTAACTGCATAAGTATTAATACTATGAGGTTTAATATATGCATATTAAATA